TGACTTTGATCAGCCTAGAGGTTGATTCAGGGTTCCATGTGGGAGTTAGCCGTCATGCCCTGACTTTGATCAGCCTAGAGGTTGATTCAGGGTTCAATCTGGGAGTTAGCCATATCCTGACTTAGATCAGCAAAGACGTGTTTCAGGGCCCACTCAGTGAGTTAGCCATGCAGCCACTTAGATCCACCCAGATGTTGTCTCAGGGATCAGTAAGAATTAATGTTTATGGCCTTGTAATTTATTTTATTTATCTCTCTACTTGTTCCAGGAGGATGACTGACTCAACAGATAGAAGGTTCTGTTTTGATATTACAGCACWAGACAGGTTTGTGTTATAATACAGACATTATTATTTCTTTCCTTTCTCAGATTTGTATTGTCGATAAGGTATGGGAGGTTGATAGGTTGATGGGTTATTAGGTTGTTGGTAGGTGTTGATAGGTTGGTAGGTTGGTAGGTGTTGGTAGGTTGGTAGGTGTTGATAGGTTGGTAGGTTGGTAGGTGTTGATAGGTTGGTAGGTTGGTAGGTGTTGATAGGTTGGTAGGTGTTGATAGGTTGGTAGGTGTTGATAGGTTGGTAGGTGTTGATAGGTTGGTAGGTGTTGATAGGTTGGTGGGTGTTGATAGGTTGATAGGTGTTGATAGGTTGGTGGGTGTTGATAGGTTGGTGGGTGTTGATAGGTTGGTAGGTGTTGGTAGGTTGGTAGGTGTTGGTAGGTTGGTAGGTGTTGATAGGTTGGTAGATGTTGATAGGTTGGTAGGTGTTGATAGGTTGATAGGTGTTGATAGGTTGGTGGGTGTTGATAGGTTGGTGGGTGTTGATAGGTTGGTAGGTGTTGATAGGTTGGTCAGGTGTTGATAGGTTGGTTTGTTTTTGTAGGCCAGGAACTATTACTTTACAGTGCCTAAATGAAGAGGATAGGAAGCTTTGGCTGGAGGCAATGGATGGAAAAGAACCGGTAAATATTCACTCACTGGCATCCAGTATTAATAGAGGTTGTGCACCATCACATGTGTACCATCATGTGCCAATACAGCTTGGGCTGCCTGTGGTTAGATGGCAGAACGATAAAATCCCTCTGCTCTTGGAATTAAATATTTTTAACACTCTATAGAGTGTTTTCACTCACGTGAAAAGGCAGCCATATTGGTGTACCAAACAATAGAAACTTACCTTTTCAGCGATAGCCGTCACGTCGTAAACACTTTGTTCGATTGTGTTATGGTCACCAAAAAGTTTGGACATCGTTCTTGGATTTCCATACAAATTCAATGACATTAAAGAGAAAATTCAGATAGATTTCTTTAGTTACCTCTCTTAACAGCAATAAGAAAAGCTTTAATCAAGTTAGAAAAATGATATTTTACTTTTATTTAGAGAACTAACTAAACAAACCAAGTAAATAATTTAACACAATCCAACACAATTTATACCACATGATGGCTAGCGCCGAAAAGGTGAATTCCCCCAAGATAGGAAGTGTATTGATTTGGTACATCAACGTGAAAACGTTCTATATGGTGTTTTACTTGATGTACATGGCAGCAGCCACATGGGTTTTCTTTTTCCTAAACCCACTGCACCTGCAGCAAGGGAAATAATTATTTCTAACAAATTAAGATATGAATTTCATTGAATATTTGACACTATTCCACAGGAGTACATGGACTCCAACCAACTGCCAATCATGGATGATGGTTAGTATCATCGTTAATAATTTAATGATTAGTATATCTGCAAATATTTTTAAAAAATCTGCAAATATTTTTAGGCACTTTCAAAATATTAATAAAATATAGTAAGTATATTCCTATTGTAATACTTTTTCCTCTTACATTGAACAGCTGAAAAAACTGAACTTGGACTGGAATTTATCAAAAAAGCGATAGCTGCTATAGAGAAGAGAGGTAGGACTTGACTCTTGAAGGATTTTTGCCCTCCCAATGGAATATCAACTGTGGTGTGTGCCATATTCTATCAGCGCACCATCACCTATACAGTACTACCTTGGACCACTGTCCCCACTGTCATGGGGTAGGGATGAGGGGGCTTACAATATTGGTTATTCATGGAAGATACACCTAATTGAAAAAACGTAGTTGGGTTTGAAAAGGTCATATCATCGAAGCTAAGACCGAAAAGGATTTTGGGTATTCTGAAATGTGTATCATATTTGCATATAGACATGTAAAAATGCACAGTAGAGCAAAGTCGGTTGACCTAGATTAACAACATGCCAAAGCCATGATACATAAAATGTGCACAGGAAGGGAAAACTGCAATACGCATGAAATTAGCATAATTGTTTGTCTTCCCATGCTCCCCTTCGGTCTTAGCTTTGATGATATAACCTTTTTTGAACCCGACAATGTTTTTTCAATTAGGTGTATAATCTCATCATGTAATCATAATCTCATTAAAAACAATCATCCATCTCTTAATGTGTGATGTATAAATGTTACTTATAGGCATAACAGACCAGGGACTGTACAGGATTGTTGGTGTAGGATCAAAGGTCCAAAACGTGATTTTTCAGTGCATAGAGAAGAAAAAGATTTATGCTATAGACTTGGAAAGTGAGGATTGTGAATTTGAGGTCAAAACGATAACGAGTGCCCTGAAGCAACACCTCAGGTAAGAAGGTAGACATTAAAATACTATTAGCCATTCTGAGTTTTAGGAAAAACTGGGTCATGTTGGCATTGCAAAGCATTGTGGGACTGTTTTAGAAGATATATTTTCAAGATGGTGTCTATTTCGTCTCTAAAACAGCCCCAAAATGCACTCCATTGCTGACTCAATCCAGTTTTTTCCTGAAGTATTGGACTGATCTCATAAGTATAGGTAATAGCTATCCAATTTAGAATTAATTGGATGACAAAAATTCTGAGGACTGACAAAATTGGAAGGGTCCAATTTGGCAGTCAGAGGAATTTTTTGAATTCAATAATTTCCAAATTGGACAGACATGTAGTCCTATTGCAGATTAATTATATCATCCCAAACTATACTAGACTGATTCTATAAGTCATAGTTTTCCCTTGAAAGAATGCAAATGGAAACGATCCAAATTAATCTTTAATTTGGACAGGAAAGAGAATTTGAAAATATTACAGTAGTTGCTTACATGGGATTATAGAGTGATGATACAATTATTATCCTTATTGATTTTTACCTATACTATTTTCAGGAATATGTGCCCCCCTGTCTTTACATTTGATTATCATGATGACTTTCTAAATGCTGTCAGTAAGTTGACTTTTACTTGTAACAGTCATTATAAACCATTTCTTACCATCTGTTGTGTGTAATTTGGCTGATTTATTTACCAATACTTCTAACAGCTGCCATGATTGGTTTACCATTTCTTGTTTGTGTGATTGGCTGATTTATTTACCAACACCTCTAACAGCTGCCATGATTGGTTTACCATTTCTTTATTGTGTGATTGGCTGATTTATTTACCAACACTTCTAATAGCTGCCATGATTGGTTTACCATTTCTTGTTTGTGTGATTGGCTGATTTATTTACCAACACTTCTAACAGCTGCCATGATTGGTTTACCATTTCTTGTTTGTGTGATTGGCTGATTTATTTACCAACACTTTTAACAGCTGTTATGATTGGTTTACCATTTCTTGTTTGTGTGATTGGCTGATTTATTTACCAATACTTTTAACAGCTGTTATGATTGGTTTACCATTTCTTGTTTGTGTGATTGGCTGATTTATTTACCAACACTTTTAACAGCTGTTATGATTGGTTAACATGCATTGTTTTGTAGTTTCTGTGATTGATCTATACCATTTCTGCATGTGTAATTAGATGAAATAACAAGTAACATGATTTGCTAACCTAAGTATAACCAAAACTATGGTTACTTGACATGGGTTAATGAACCTCTTTTGTTTCAGAGCTAGAAACTTATAAAAAAAGAATAGAACAGCTAAAGAAATTGATACAAGCCCTTCCAGAACACAACAGAAATCTGATTTTCCGAATTATGACTCATCTGAAAAGGTAGTTTGAAAATTTTTCTGTATTGTACTACGAACCCTGTCATCTGTTTTATGGATGATAGGCCCTTTGCAGCTAACAGTCACGTGTCTGTACTGGAGAGGAAAATATTTGTTTATATTTTAAATTGGTGATTCTTTTTAGCTACTTGTAAAGAACTGAATGAAACGATGTGTAACCAGGTGGTTCGAAATGCAGTCTTATTACGATCTCTCAAAACAGGTTGTAGAAAGTGTGTTTGTTCTCCAGCAAATTTCACTCATGGGAATCAAGATGTTCATTCATTTGCTCTCAGTGAATTACACGTGATTACTAGGCTGCAAAGGGCATATCAGAGACCTTTAGATCTGACAATGAGTACGAGAACGAGTACAAGTATGAGTTTTTAACTTTTAATGAGAGTCACTATCTTTTTGTACTCATGATCGTGTGTACGTAGATTGAAACTTTAGACTGTAAGAAATCGGAAATCGACTACGATTCAGTGTTATCCATGTGCACAGGACCAATTTTAAAACTCCTACTCGTACTCATACTCAATCTCGTACTCGTCGTTGGATCTAAAGTTCGCTATTGAGTCTACCCAGCCAACCAACCAACTCAACATTACCAATAACCTAATGTTATGCAATTGTTATTCTCAGGGTTGCTGCTCATTCAAACAAGAACCTAATGGCAGCCAGTAATCTTGGGGTTGTGTTTGGACCAACACTAATGAAGTCTAAAGAGGAAACGATGGCTGCTATTATGAATTTGAAGTATCAAAGTGTAGTGGTCGAGCTGTTAATCAAGGAATATGATTACGTAAGATTACTTTAAATCATAAATTTTGATAAATAATGATTTATTCATTTGTTAATTAATTAAATATATTAATTAATCATAATTTAATTAAATAAATAAATTTAATTAGTTAGTTTATTTATTTATTTATTTTGATAAATAATGATTTATTCATTTGTTAATTAATTAAATATATTAATTAATCATAATTTAATTAAATAAATAAATTTAATTAGTTAGTTTATTTATTTATTTATTTTGATAAATAATGATTTAAGTGATGTATAAGTTCATCTGGCTGAGAGTGTCAATCTTTCACACTTTGTTGAACCCTCAAACAACCTCTGACTGATCTAGCTTACAATTGTCTTAGAACAACATTCTTCTGAAGAATCCTCTCACTTGCACAATCATCCTCCTCGTGCATCATTGTCATTGGTTCAATAAATGATGTTGTGCCGCAATCGGGTGGAGTTGGCTGCTAATGTGCCACCTCTCACCAATGTGACCCAGGTTTGAGTCCTGCCGGGCCTGGTGTGTATGTGAGTAGAGTCGTTTGCTGTGTCTCTTTTGTACTTCAAGCGTTTTTCTCTGGTTTCCCTCCCTCCTCAAAAATCATATTCTAAATTCCAATTCGATCTTCAGGCTTTCAGCTAGTTTAAGGCCTACAATCTTCTGCAAAATAAAATGTGCCACCTAGTATTTTGGAGAACCATCCCCCCTCTCCCCCCGTAGCAATGTTGTCTTGCATGCATTTTACCAGCCAACCGCTTCACAGTGTAGAAAACTTCCTTGACCAACATTGCTAGGGGGAAAGGGGGGAAAGTGGCACATTATTTTTGCAGAAGATTGTAGCTTTGTTGTATTTGTCACACGCTGTGATACAACAGCTAAAGCTCAGTAGACCAATTCCTTTTTTTTTTGTCTTTTGCTACTCAGCTATTTGATGTACCCAAGGAAGAAGAAATAAATAATATCCAGAACTCGCAGAATTCAAACCAAAATGCAGTTGAAARGCCAATCTTACCGCCTAAGAAACCAATGGGCAAAAGAAGTACAAATGATGACCCTGATAGTAATTGCATTGATGGGAAGCCACCTGCTTCTGCTAAAGCATATCCTGCACCACGACCACCAAATAGGCCACCCTATGTGCCAAGACGGAAACAAGTACCATCTACAGGTTAGTAATCAAACAGTCAGGAAATGATAGCTATGTTAGTGGTGTTAAGTAAAAAACACTAACAGGTTTTTATCTTACTGAAATGATATTTTGAATGTTTGTAGATTCAGATGAAGATGATTCAAGCTCAAAATCAGGATCATCAGGTAACATGATGATAATAATGATAATGATACATGAAGGTGATACATGATGACGATGATGATTCATGATGATACATGACGATGATACATGTTGATGATACATGATGATGATGATACATCATGATGATACATCATGATGATCCATGATGATCCATGATGAT